AAAAACTTAGAATATCTTCCTTTGCCCTTGGTCAGCCGGGACGTCCAGTTATTATTATTATTATTTTGGCTCGGGATTATAACAATGGAAGGCCTGTCCTGTTTACCCTTTCCTAAAATTATGATGAATGATGCTCATAAAAATTAAAAGATATTATAAGTATACAAGTTGTAATTAAAACTAATAATAAATTAAGGTAATTCTTTAAAGAATTAATTAAAATGACAATTAAGTATTCAATTTTTTAAATTTATTTATGTTAAGCTAATAAAAGTTAAGGTTGATTTTAAAACAATTAAAATAAAAATATTAAAAATGATCAATTAAAATAACTATCAATCCACGAATAAGTTAAAATCAATCAAGAGAATACTGTTCTAAAATTCTAATCCCCTATTTGCTTTTTAAAACTCAATTTTGATAGTTAAAGAATCTAAATTAATTCAAAGTATTTTTTGATTATTAAGGATCCTAATTAATTTAAATAGAGCAAAATATTAATTTAATTAATTAATTGTATTAGAGATCCTAACCCATGAGGATTACTTAAATCCATTAGATACATTCATGTTCTAATGACAAATTAGCTAAACTAATCTTAAGTTTTCAAGGTGCAATTTGAGTTTCTTCCTTCAAGGTTCAATCCAAATGCTTAAATCTCACATAGTGGTGGCCAATCGTTAAACAAGAACAAGATAGCTTAACAACAAACAATCAAAACTTTATTTTTCAATAACTAAACGGTAAATCAAAGGTTATTTACATAAATAGGTTCATAATTTTTTAGAACAAAAGATTTAACTACACATAGCTGATATGAAAACTGCAACGGCAAAGAAAATGTTTGAGTCAATCAACATGGGAAAAAAGGAGAAGAGAAAATATTGATAAAATAAGGTAAAATGAAGACTTGCTTTACTTCTTATTGATCCCAAATTTCAAGACTCTCCTTGCTTTCTTAAGGTTTTCTCCAATTGCAGCAACTGAAAGGTGCATCCTCCAACCTAGAAAAACGAGTTATGTAGAGTATTTTCACACATAAAATGAAATTGTGCTTTTTGCATTTTTCATTTGGTGTCGCAGCATCAGTGAGCAATTCTAAAAAAAATTATAACAATGCATAAGAACTTTTGCTTTTGTATTTTAAGATCAAAACTATCATTTTCTTGTCCTCTTTCTCTTTCCACTTTACTATTATCATGCCTCATCTATTTATAATTAATAATTATGAGTAAAATATTTGTTTACTTTAATTTTTATAATTTTAAATAATTTCTGTTTAAAAAAATATTACATTAAATTTACATGAGACATTTGGTTAATTTTTTTTTTATAAAAACAAAAATATTTTATTTTTTTTATATCGTTGACTCTCAAAATATAACAAAAGACATGTTAATTATAATACAAAATTGGAGTCATCAGTGAAAAGCAGTTCACGTATGCATCCTTCACGCGGATCACTTCCCGATCGAGCTACAGATCATTATTGCTGGTGATGAAAGAAACAAAGATCCTTCTTCGGGGCATCCATATTGCTAAAGGACGCGAACCTAACATTCCCGAGCTAGCTAGTTGATTCCATTCAATCATGCCTGCCAACCACTGTCTAATAATGGATCACACCATAGATAGATACTCATATCGGATGATTCTAGTGAGTAGTGTCTACAACCCACATTATCAGCTTCTGTAATTCCATATAACCCTGCTGGTCTCTCCGTCATGTATGCGTAGATACCGAGAACTCGGACAGGCCAATTCAGTTCGGCTGATCGTAGGGTGTGAATGGGCAGACACTGGCAACTGTTTCAGTCCCTCCCTGTTTAAAATGAAATTATTATTATTATTATTGAACAACAATGAAAGTGTACGATGATTGAGGGAAATTGAGGAAAGGAACGTCATTGCTCATTAATAATGGAGAGGTGGAAACGACAGGGCTGATTAAGACACGCACGCGCACAGACTGGGGCGGCCTATTGTCACATGACAGTTCTGCACCTCCACTCCATCACCATCCTCAATGTCCCTTTCACACCTACTCCTTCATTTTCACGTTTCTCTCATTGATTGGCCCAACCTGTCCTCCGCACTCGAGAATCAAGCCCTCATTTCAATAGTGCTCAGTTTTCTTTTTCTCCCCGGACGGTAGAAGCGGTCAAGTTTCACCGCTAATTAAAAAGAAAAAGAAAAAGAAAACTCATCTGACTTGAGTAGCACTTCCGGGTGGCAAATCACTCTTAACTTGATTTAGTGCTCATGATGTGAGAATTCATTACCTTTATATTGTTCAGATTTAATTTTTATGATTTAAATTTATAATTTTTTTAATAAATACTTTTTAAAATTTTATTTTTTTTGAAAAGTTAACAGTTAAGAAATTATATTAATTTTATATTCTGTATGTATTATTTTTTTTTAAAATAAAAGTGAAATGCTGTACATCCGAATCATCCAACAAATTAAATCTGAGCAGAGGATGAACTTTCAGTGCTCATCAGTGCTGAAACTGATTCCCAATTTCCACGAGGCTCACGAGCCAAGTGGCTTCTCAAACCCCCTTTCCCCCTTCTCCCTCTTAAAAATACGCTGACAGAATCAGAATGCTTCGGCTTCAGCCCATTGTGCCCCCCTCTACAACAAAAATGAAGTTTTCTGAACAGAATTTCTTATCTAATTTTTTTGAGGAATTGAAGGGCAGCCGAACCAAATTAGGAAGAAAATGGAGTGGTCTCTCTTTCTTTATCACATTTGCTGGTTTTGAAGTAATTTTGCTACTTTTGCTTTCCTCCAAATTCATTAACGGCGAGATAAACCCATGTCCGTGTACCGGCGGAAGTTTGGTCTTGCGTCCCGGGATGTTCATTAAAAAAAAAAAAAAACAACATCAAGGGTCACCGGGGACACATTATTGGCACTAGTTTTGAAGGGAATAAATAAGTGAGATTTTGCGAAACGGACAGGCTAACATGTAGAATCTGTATCACACCTATTGGATATTGGAACAGATGTGGCTCGGGGTCAGTCATTGAATTTGAATTACAGTTGTAAAAAAATAAATAAAAAGAAGAAGCCAAAATGGCAACACTCGATAGACGCCTAGGTGTCTCCGTACGAAAAAGTTTGATAGGACCTCATGCGGGTCCCTTTTTCACGCTCTCCCCCGCCTCCCTTCTCATTCTTCCCCGACCGAAATTAAATTCAAATCTTCTCGCAAAACAAAATAATAATAGTGATAATAATTAAAATCAAATCAACACGACCCAACCCAACAATCCCAGAGTACGGCATTCACCCTCATGTGTTTGGTTCGGGTTTTTAAAAGGGATCGTTTGGTTAAGAAATTTGGAAGGAGAGGATAGTTAAATAATCACTCACATTGCTTCCCTTTGAATTGAAGTTTTTTGAAGAGAAGCTGATTTCTTTAACTATTTTGTCTTTATTTAATTTTTAATATTATAAATATATTCATAATTTTAAAAAACTCTTCTTTATATTATATTATATTTCACTTTCAAACCTCAACTTACCTTATTTGATTTTTTTAAAAAAAGTTACATTTTATCTAATTTTATTATATATTTAGTTATTTATTTTTATAAAAAATTATTATCATTATAATTATTGATTTAAATTTTTTTACACATTGACAATATGATAGGATGATAGTGAATTTTTAAAATATCATACAATTTAAATTGACTTGTAAAATTATTTTTTACAAGAAAAAATTAAAAAATTTTTAAACTAACGTACAGAAATATAATGATAAATTAATTATTATCTTTAAAGTACGTCTTCGTTTTCCCCCTACTCCATGAAGTCTTTCGGTTTGTTTGATTTTTTCACTTTTACATTTCATTTTTTTTATAAAAATTAGAATCACCTCAAAACTATTTCCATTTTTTTATCTTACAAATACAACAAATACATCATGATCCAATTTGATTATTAAAAATAATTGAAATATAATAGACTAAAAAAATAAAAAACAAATATCAATTAAATCACCATTCCCCGTAAGCATGATAAAACTCAAATTAAATATAAAAAATATAAAAATCATCACACTATTTAAAAATATCTTGATCATAATTTTTAATTTTATAAATTAAATTATTTTTTTTATAAATATGATTCTTCAATCTCCCTCACACATGATGATAATCTTTTTTTTTTTTCATTTCATTAACCAGATGGGGCCAATATTATTTAATTAAATTTTAAATAAAATCTCACATACCAATAACTCATTAAATACACTCTATAACTTTACTTTTTTTAAAAAAATATAAATTTTTAAAAATACTTTTCATTTAACACACAATTGATAAAAGAATATTAAAAAAAAATATATGAGAAGAGTAATATCAAAAAAATATTATTAATAAAATTTTATTTTTATTACAGTGTCTTGTTTTAAAGTCAAATTTTTTTTAAAAAATTATATAATTTAAAATGGAGGGAGTAATAAAAATGGAGACCCCGAACCTGTGATGGTCGGTAGCCGCGCGCAACAAGATGGGGCAATGGTTGATGATTATTGAAGGCAGGCGGTGGTTGATGGAGGAAATGAATTTTTTAAATTTTAAAAACTGTTTTCCAATTAATATATAATAATTAAATTTCTTGCCTTTGTTTTTATGTCATTTTATTTTGTCTGCTCCATTGGGCCCCTCACGGTCTATTAAAACAAAAATGCATGGGCCTCTTTGACCCAGATAAGAATAATTTGGGAAGATCAGAGACGCTAACCCCTGTGCGAAAAAAATGATTCGGCCACTCGGTGACTCGGTCTGCTATGGTGTAAAATAAAAATAAGGTTATGCAACCCACAAAAAAAGGGAATCATTATACTACCAGACAAGAATCATGATTTCTGTTCTTCCGTTGAAGCATGTTTCGGAAGATTTTATTGTGTGGTAGAAGATTTGGATATCACGGAAGAATAGGTTTAGATTGACTACAAATATACGAGTAATTAAATTAGAGATTGAATGGAGTTGCTGACAAAAGATGTGGATTTCAGAGACAAACAAGCAAAGTTTACCTGTAAATTGCAATTACGTCTGCAGAGGGACGGCCACCGACTAGTTATGGAATTTTTAATGCATGCCCACCACCCCGCCATTGCCAAAATGTTCCAGCACTGTCTCCATCACCACAAAAGGAAAAACATTCACGACAAGTTTTAGTATCGCTCGGGTTCTTTGCCTGCATTTGCCGGTACTTTGTCTCCGCCGATCCCGTCATTCAAACACGTCGACCAAACCACCCTTCACAGCCTCTTCAGATCCCGACAGATTCAACTCAACTTCTTCTTCAACAACATTGGTCATTCCCAAAGCCTGGCATTCACTCGCACCCTCCTCCAATCCCCCGGCACCATCTTCTTCTCCGGCGTCGACAAGTTCGGTTTCGTCGCTCACAAGATCTCCCAGACTCTCGTCTCCCTAGGAATTCGATCCGCATTTCTCTATCCCGTGGACGCCCTGCATGGCGACATCGGCATTCTCACTGGTCAAGGTATCCTCGTCTTGTTCAGCAAGTCCGGCACCACCGAGGAGCTCATCAGGCTAGTGCCGAGTGCCAGAGCCAGAGGGGCTTATTTGATCTTTGTCACTTCCTTCGAGGGGAATCCGCTGGCGGGAATGTGCGATATGAACGTACATTTTCCGTTGGAGAGACAACTGTGCCCCTTTGATCTGGCGCCCGTGACTTCCGCCGCCATCCAGATGGTTTTTGGGGATACGGTGGCGATTTTGCCCATGTCTGCCAGAAATTTGAGCAAGGAACAGTATGCCAGCAATCATCCAGCCGGCAGGATTGGCAAGAGTCTTATCTTCAAGGTTGCCCTCATTCTTTCTTGCTCATGTTGTTTTATCTCAATTTTAGATTCTTACAGATGAAAACATATGATCATTCTTATGCTGCGTTGGTTATCTCGCGAAAGCTACTCTTTGTCCCAATGTGGCTTTTCATGTAGGCATGGGTTTGGCCTTGGTACATGGGAGCTTTGTATGGGCTGACAGGAACGGCATCCTATGCACATACATCCTTAAAAAAACTCTTGATGAGTTAGTCTTTAATACATGATTTTATCATACAACTTAATATATCCTGTGTCTTTCCTCTGCATTGGTCAACATGGGCTTTCTCCTCTTGCTTCCTTCTCTTTCATTTCCTATTTGTGCAGTGAGAGTTAAAGGCTTAAAGCACACTATAGTTCCTAGATGTGCGTGATGTTAGGGCATGTATGCATAGTTGCATAAACTTGTGGATGGCCTGGGGGAATGAGTAATAACATGTCAAACTCTGTGTGTGTGTGTGATATGGGCGCGCAGGTAAAAGATGTGATGAACAAGCAAAACGAGCTTCCCATTTGCAGGGTGGGTGATCTAATAATGGATCGGCTTGTGGTGCTGACGAGTAAAGGACTGCTTGTAATGGATGAACAACATCTGATTGGGACATTTACGGAAGGTGATCTTCGACGCACCCTCAAAGCTAGTGGGGAGGGCATCTACAAGTTCACCGTGGGATAAATGTGTTACAGGCAACCAGAGAGTCTCATTTTGATTTTTGATTCGCAGACATAAATTCTTGTTGGTGGGTGGTATGTGGATGGCAGGAATCCAAGATTGATTAGTCCAGACGAGATGGCTGGGGGGGGACATGACAAAGATGGAAGCGCCTCCATCACCTGTGCAGTTTTTGCCTGTCATATTGTCATCGTCAGATTGCATGGCTTGGCTTCGGCTGGCCTCTGAAGCTTGTAACTTCCAACCTGCTCAGTTACTTTTTTTTTTTTAAAAAAAAAACTTCTTGCCCCGTTCCTGGCGGGGTTCATGTAAATTCCTTGAAATTAGAAAGGATATGAATTATTAGATGGAAACTGAAATTGCTTGATCGACTCTTGTCAAGAACGTGGGCTTCTATTGGGATTCATCAGACTTGACATCTTACAAGGGGGAAAAATCATATCTACGGGCATGGCTTCGCAATGGAATCTTTGATCCTGTGAAGAAAATAAAATGCTACTTTCAAAGAATAAAACTTACAAGTTACAACTTAAATCGTGCATTCTAGTTTATAAAAGAATTTTGATCAATTTGATGGGAGCAGAAACGGCAGTAAACAAGAAGCAGAAAAACCAACAAATGTTTTTCTTATGGGCGTTAGCGAGTGAAGGAATTAGTGTTTGGTTCATCTCAATTTCTGATAGAACACGTAAGACTAGGCTACTTCGGAAGAAGGGAACGAGAGGCCCATGTACACCATCAACAAGTGAACAAAGACGATGTGCTGCACTTCATCTGAGGTCCTGAATCTGGTCATATGGATCCCAATTGCAGCCCAACCTACCGAGAAAGAACTCCTTGAGTAGCATTATTGTTTGCTCAAGCAGGAATATACTTGTTTCGTTCAAAAAAAAAAAAAGTAGGAATATACTTGTACTTCCGGATGCGATCCAGAGCCTCAACTGAATTAAGTGTTTGACAGGGTTCCCCAATTTTTGAGGGAGTTAGTGCAACAAGAGTGTTTGGAATTTAAATCCCCAATCGTTGTCTAATTTACTACTGTAATATGGTCTTTGCCCTCGTTTCTACAAGAAGAAAAGTCATTGATTAATTATTTAACATTGGAGGTTGTGATATTATGCAATTGTGCATTACAAGACACGTGCACCTGCTGTTGATTTTGCAGTGTAAACGGATATATATGTGTGTGTGTAAACTGAAAGGGAAGCACCTGAAGAAAACGCGGAGACTGTAGCATAGATCGTTGCGTTGGGCCGTTTTCTTTGTGTGGAGTTGGTAGATGTTGTGGAGATGCAAGTTGCGTTAGAAAAAGCAAGCATCCCTTGCACCGTTTTGTCCGTGTTTTTATTAAAAAAAAAAAAAAAAGCAAGCATCACTGCCCGGTTGCCCACTAACTGCAGGACGTCACATTGGTTGGATTCCTTTCCCACAATTGACTCGTCCAATGCTCTAATCTAATCTAACCAGTAACTAGAGCCGTTCGCATTCCTTGCTCTCTTGATGCTCGTGATCAAAGTTGTTAGACTTATAAATTTAAATAAATTCTAAGGATATAAATTTAAAATATAAACTCAAATCGTAAACTCATAAGAATTTATTTTTATTAATAAATAATTTTTAAAAATATATGATTAAATAACTAAGATATAAAATATAATCACAATTTAATTTAAATATATTTTAAATATAAATTATTGAAATTAAATCTCTCTACATTTATAGTCAACATAAAAATTTCAAAATAGAGCAATCTATTTTGTATATTTTTTGTTTTCTTTTTTCTTTTTTAGTTTTATTCTTTATTAAACTGGATCCTATCATTCCTGTAAATCAAGTTTTACATAATACATACCTATCTTGTTTAACGAGTTTATAAGTAAAATGACACAATTTTATAACTTAAAATGTAAAAAGGGCAAAATGTAGAGTCAATTTATAAATTTAACAGAATTTTATCTAGTTTGAATTTATAAATAAATTAATATAATTTTATCAATTAAAAATGTAAAAATAATAAATTTATAAAGTCAACTTAAAAATAATAAAACAATGCTCGTGACCATATGTAATAGATCACTCCCAAGCCCTCCTGTTTGTTTCCATACTTTAGATCCCACGAATGCTCTATCCCACTGCTCACACTCAGACCTCGGCAAAGGTTTCAGTTAGATTGATATGTATGTTGTTAACTCACATGCGCAGACATCTAAGCACGATATGTTAAAAATTGTTTTTGGCTCAATAAATCAAGAGGTTTTCAAGTTTCTTTTATAGAATGTTTTTTTTTTTTTTTAAGTTGAATAAATGGAATTACTACATTTATTGCCTTTCAACGGTAAAGTCCAGCCATCCAGGTTTCACATATTAGGCCTGTGGGCCCTTTTCTTTATTCAAAGCCCGTCATTGTAACAGTACCTCAGCTATTTTCCCTAGCGATTCAACTGGGGCGGGGGTGATTTCATATTCAAGGACTTGGGAAGCATATTTATCACAAAAACAGGATCAAAGAATTTTAAAATTGATGTGCAGGACCAAAAGATCAAATACAATTAAATTTTATGATGAAAAGATAAAAACACCCTCATGTATTTTTTTGGGGCTAAATTATATATTTTATTTTTTAATTTTACACAATATTTTATTTTAATATCCTAACTTTATAAAATATTTTTTAGTTCTTTAACCTTAACACTGTTAATTTTATTTATTCTAACAAATTATTACATTAAACTTTTAATATTGATCAAATGATTTTGAATGTTAACATATTAAGTTTAATATTTTTAAAATAATAATAATTGACATAAAAAATAATTATTTGAACTTAATAATGTTAAAATTAGAAGATTTAAAAAATATTTTATAAAGTTAAAATATCAAATTAAAACTTTATATAAAATTAAAAAATTAAAAATATATTTTAGTCATTCTTTTAACAAATCACCCCCATTGTCATTGGAAACACTACCAACAATTGCCGACCATGAGACCAGTTTGAACCCATAAATTAATTTTTGTTGTCAAGAGGGTTTGAACCCATAGCTCCTTAATCATCAAACAAATTGGCAACTACTAGGCTACCAATACTTTTAAATTATATAAAATACAATATTATATATATTATTAACTTTGTTTTCACTTCTCAAGCTAATATTTGTCAAGAACTTATTGGTCACATGTCATTTCTTAAATACTTGCTTCTTCAATTACTAACGGGGTTCGCAAAAAAAAATTCATACACACCTGTTTTTATAAATGTTTACTTATTTTTATTATTAAAATTTTCTTTGTCAAAATTTTATTTGAATTTATTATTTTACTAAAATTTAATCTTCAAATTATTAAGGGAAATTGTCAAAGTTAGCAATGGAATTTGTTGTTTAACAAATTAAAGGAAATTATCAAAGTTAGTAACAGGATTTATAGTCTAACAAATATTTACTTATCAAATTACTAATTATACTTGTTAAAAATTACTGTGCATTTTCTAATAATTTTTTATTTATTCTTACTATTAAAAGTTCACTTTTCAAAAGCTATAGCATACAGCAGACTGGGACGAGTCCAAGAAAAGTAGGGCAGTCTGGGTATAGTATTTTTAAAATTGTTTTTTATTTGTATTTAAAAAAAACAATTGTTCTTTTTTAAGTCAAGAAAAATAATAAAAAATGATAATAAAATCTTGTCAAATTATATAAATGATAATTTAATTTCTTAAAATGTCATATTTCAATAAAATTTTTAAGAACTTTTTTGTCACTAACTTTTCTAGTGAAAAGATAATTTTATCTTAATCGAAAATATCAAACTCTAATAATAATTTTTATTTTGTAAATCATAAGAATTAAACAATAAATCATAACTTGTTCATTGGAATTTTTATTATTGAAAAACAAACTCAAATAATAACTTTTGCTTAATGAATAATAATTTTTATTTTGTAAATTATAAGAATTGAACAAGAAATCATAACTTGTTAATTGTAATTTTTATTATTGAAAAAAAACTTCAATAATTATTTTTGCTTAATGAATAACAACTTTTATTTTGTTAATCGTAAGAATTAAATAAAAAATTATAATTTACCAAATATAATTTCTATTATTAAAAAATAAATTTTTAAAATAATAAATTTCATTCAACTTTTATTTAAAGAATCACAATTTTTTTAAAAAAATCATAAGAATTGAATAAGAAATTATAAATTATCAATAAGAGTAAAATAATCTTTTCAATTTAAAATTTATGGATAAAAAGATTTTAAAATTTTTATTAAAATTATGAAGAGATTAAATTATTAGTCATTTAATTTAAAAAAATTTTATTATTATCTTTTTAAAAGTAATTGTTTAGGTCGTCGTTTTCTATTAGCATTTGCTATTGCCAACCATCAACCCCCACCATCATAAACCGTCGCTGACCACTGCTGACCACGGCCAATTGCCGCCAACCCCAAGCAGCTAGTGTTTAGTATCGTCTATTGGTGTTCTTAAAACCTGCTTTCAAAGTAATTTTTTTTTTTGGGTTGAATTATTTATTTACCGGCCAATATTTCTGAAGCGAAAAAAAAATTATTTTTATCTTACTATTTTTTATGGAAAAAAATGAACCATATATTGTAAAAAAGTTCTAAACGCTAAATTAAATATTTTAAAATTCATGCGTTTCTTCCTTCCAAATCCTTGCTTAGTTTGGATGGATGAAAAAGTACGAGAAAAATAAAAATGAGAGATAGTACAAGACAAAACTTTAAAAAAAAAATAATAAGTTTTATTATTTTTGAGAGTTTTCCCTTTTAATATTATTTCTTCTCTATTTTTCACTCAATCAAACTAGGGGTTAATAAGTATGTGTGGGGTTGTGGGCATTTTGGAATCCTTGGTTTGGCCAAATACCTCCGAAATATGGAAAATATTAAGCGGTAACAGGGAAACACACAGCACTGATAATTTGGAAGAGATATGAGACCGGAATATGGAGTCTCTGAGAGTTTGAAATTAGCTGTAACAATTTTTTAAAAGATACTAATGGATGGGATGTGCATGTAATCATATCAGAAACATTAAACTAGGGTTCCTAAGTTGTCGGCTGATATGGTTTAAGCATAAAGAATGATGTCCCACGCACGCGTCTTGTAACTTGTTCGTCGATCAACAATTGAAAGCAGCGATGAAACAGCTGCCATCCATCCCTGCAACCATAAAAGCTTCTTTGCTGCAATAAAATAATTGCCAAGAGAAAGAGAGATACTCTGAGAGGCAAAAGCAAAAAGCGACAAATCAATAAATGTGTCTTTAGGAACCAAACCAAACAATTTCTCTTAATTGGGTTGGACGATTCCCCCAATACTCCACATGTAGAAAAAGCATTCCACATGATTATCACTTCCAGTGGATTGCAGCTGCACAACTAAAGGTCAAAATGTAAATATGCTCCCCACACTTTTCATGCTATTTCTTTCTTCCTGATATTATTATATTCCATGCATGCCCTTAGCTTTATTACTTACCCAATCAAACACAATCCCCCGATCCAATTAATTCCTTTCTTCTCTGTCATGTGCACATTAATACAATATAATTACGTTTAGATTCTGATTCACACGCCCCTGCCCCCCCGATCCTTCCATAGCTAGACCAGACCAGACACGAAGCTTTATTAATTGTGGATCCAGGCTGGGTTGCCATGCCGTGTGTATTGATTCCAAACGTGACAATTAAATTAATTACTTGTTAAAAAGAATGAAAAGAAAACAATGAGCATGTTTCTGATACTGATCAGATAGTGAACAAATTAATTGTACATGAATTAAAAGGACTGTCCCAATGGATGCTAATGGGATAATTATAACTAAATTACATTAAAGGAAGGGGGGAAAAATCTCAAAACGACCTCATACGCTAAGAACTTGGACAGTATATGCCACAACCTTAAAACATCTTTGGAAGTTCAAGCGAAGCACTTGACTCCTCTCAAAGACAAACTCCACATATGTGCATTTTTTTTTCACAGATCTGCAATTTTTGGTAATTTGGGTGATATGAACCATAGATATACACATGCACATTTTTCTTATAACAAAACCATACTGTCATTATCAACATCGAATCTCATTCCGTCCAAGTTTGAGGCCACGTCATTGTGGTGGATGCTGTTTTCTTCCAGATCCATGTCCCATAAGAATCCATCGTCATATCCAACATGATCTCCTTTTGGAATACTGTGAGAGACAGTACTAATGTTTGTTCCCCGAGAAAACTGAAGGAGATTCATGAGAGAGCTGTTCTGGTTCTGGTATTGGTAATCATGGGGTGGAATGGAGGTGAAAGTGGTGAAGCCAGGAGGCACAGTTTGATTGGTCGGAGATGAAGGCAAAGTAAAGGAAGGGGCAGTCTCAAACATGTCTTGCGGGCTGAATTTGGCAGTGTTGTCTGCTCTGCTTTTGTAAAATACTCTACACAAAACCCAGTCCTCCTGTGTAATCAACACAAGTTTGACCTGATTAGCAAGAATTAATGTGAACTCACATGCTATGCGCTTGAATTTAATTAATCAAGCGTTATCCTCACTCCAATATAGTAATTATTCCCTGGCTGATAAACAGGAATTAGACAGCCCTCGCATCTATTTTATTTCCATGCCTCTCGCTGACACATGGAAGCAACATAGTACAAGTTTGATCGAACAAAATGTGAATAATTGAAGCATCAGTGTTTGTTATTACACCATTCGTCGACATCGAATCCGTGGAGAAAATCAATCATCAAATCATATATATAGTGATAGGAGGTCTGATAATTTAAGTACCTATGACCTCTTCTCAAAAAAGTAATTAATCTGCAAACTAAAAATTGTTGATTGTGGGCTAATAGCTATGGTTAGGCATAGTAATGATAGGGGGTTTGAAAAAGGAAGAAGTGAGAATGAAACCTTGGGGGGCATGTGTGGGGTCTCCAAGCGGAATTCATGCATGATCCAACCAGTCTTCATGCCATTGGGGGCTCTGTTCCTGTAGAACACCAGCGTCTTCCTCATCCCTACAACCTCGCGTGTCATTGGGTCCAGCACGGTCCTATCCTTCCCTGTCGCCTTCCAATACCCAGACGTCGTCGCCCTATTTGTCCGGAATCCCGTGGCGTATTTACGGTCACGGAAGCTGAAGAAGTACCATTCGTTCGTGTTCAGCTTTGCCACCTCTACGTAAATCACCCACCCACGCGTGATTAGTCAGATTTTTGAACCGCATAATTAAACACCACAAATAATACAAGCACATAAGATCAAATATATATATATATATATATTAACCAACGAAATGTCTTTGATTGGTTGAAGTTGCCATGAGATAGGAACAGTGCGCAACACATCATTCAGACTTCATACAATTTTCGTAACCCAAATACTTGTTAGGTACATGAGACGTTGAGAATATATAGATCATGCTTTAACAGGAAAAAAAATATAACTATGTATGGGAAAAATCAACTAAATAGTCTCAAGCTATACATATATGCGCAATTTTCAAGTCCCCAGTAAATAAATAAATGCAAAAGGTGATGGAGACTATGTTGTTAGCTAGAAAGCTTCGAGAAGTTTGCCATATACTTATAATTACGTAACACGTCTTCCTTCGTTTTTACCATTTTTACAAAGCTTTCCATGCATTATGCTGCGTAAGAAGTCCAAGAACTAGTTTAGTCAAGAAAGATCAGGATTTCATTTTATGTGTATTGAAATATTCTCCTTTCTAATTTAAAGGGCATATATATGATTGCTAATTATGCATATAGGAATGTTTAAGTAGTCAATCTCACCTAGATAGGGAGTCATAATTCCCAATAGAAAGGTAACTTAGAATATGCACTATGTTCCATGATGAAATCTAAGGAAGTGTCACACTAAAAAAGGGGAGAAAAATTTAGGAGGTGCTGTGTAGAAGTGTAAAATGATATTCAAAGATTAAAGGTAAAATTGAGTGCTATATTGAACCACAGGCGACGTACTTACGGACTATAGCGTTGCCTTTAATTATATGCAGAAATAATATTTTTTACCATAATTAGTTATTGGAAGGAGAATAATTTCTGACGCTGCTCCAATAATTGGTAAATGATCAAGTTGAAACAGTAATTGTACACAGAAATACGATAAAGTGTATGGAGCAGGGAAGGCAGGGGATATGATCAGGTGCGTGTGCTATATGGACCCTAATATAGTTTGGTGTGCTAAAATAACAGTTATGGCATGTGCGAAGAACCAACAATACAATGAAATGGAGACCCTATATATTAATGGCACATGACAAGCTCCCATCTAAATACAAATTAAAATGCATTTGTTTTCATACTTAATATCAATAATTAAGTTTTTTTTTTTTTTTGTGTTCGGGGGGAGGCCGTATCCGCTAATTGGGGCTTCATTTTCCACCGCCATCTTCATATTTGAATATCCAGAATATAGAACATATGCTTTAACTGAAGAAAATAGTCCGAATTATTAAAACAACGGGCCGTGATCAGGAAGAATAACAGTAAAATAAACTCGGTGGTGATGAGATTGCAGCACAGTCCAGCTCCATACAAGATGCATATACATACTAGAAGCATAAAACTATAATTAAAGATCAGAGAGATTCATATATTTATTTGAAACAATTCATAAAGGAGTTGGCATGCATTTCATTCTTTGCCCATTAAAGCACTGAGTAAACTACAGACACGCACAAGATTCCTCCGCCCTCTCCCCCCCCCCCCCGCTGTCATTCTTCTTAATCCTCTCTCCTGGAAAGAAATTTGTCTGCTTGCATGTAATAGCGGATTATATTTGACAGACGTGCATTTGCATGTCTTCCTGTTATGGAATTTTAATTAATTGTTCTGCCTCCTTTGGTTGGAGACCATCATATCTGAATTAAATTCCATAACATTAAATTACTATCTGGTTCATCATGACACGACCGGGATCACAGTTCAAACCTTTTCCCTCAAGTGACGCACGCGATGCTCTTAAAAGAATACAGAAGAGATCACAGGCAAACAGAGAATATATATATATATATATATTCAAGAACAAAATTGAATTATATAAGATCACAATTAAGAAGGAAGACGAGGAGAGACAAAGAGAGGTATCTATATGAGAAGATATATATGTACCTGGAAGCTGCCATGGCTCGCATGTATGCAAGTCGATTTCGACCAAAGTACCCTTGAGAATTTCCTCATTGGTGATCTTCTTGTACAGGTAATGACAAACCAACTCCTCGTCGCTCGGATAGAAACGAAACCCAGGAGGGAGTGAAGCCCCTATGTCTCTCAGACCCATTAATTATTTTGCTTTTTAAACACAGAGAGAGAAGAGAGAGAGCAGGATATATGATCTATAAAAGAAGCTTTGAGAAATAACACTAGTTGCTCCGGGTATTTGAAATATATAATATGGGGTAGAGGCAGCGAGGTTGGTACTGCGTATATATATGCATATTTAGTTAGGAAGATGTGAGGGACTTTACCATTTAGAAATTATTAATATTCCAGCAGGGCCATGCTAGCTTGTGTAACTGAGGTTAGTTATAGTGGGAAGTCTCAAGAAAAACCAAACCTGCAAGATATCTCTGTACCTATTAGGGGTCCAACACATTTGGTATGCTCATCATTCACATGCGACAAAAACCTCTCGAGCATAATTCCGAGAGAAACCCTCCAAAATATTCCTTTTTTTATTTGTATTATTATTAAAGTTATCCCCCACCCTCCTATTTTTCTTGTGCCAGAGGAGAAGCTTTTAATTATTTAACGGTGTGGTTAATTAATTACAAACAATATCTTATTGTGCAGCTAGCATATCACGGACGCTCATAGAATATCCACCGATATTTATTTAATATTACCATAATGTAGTGGAAATAAATATAACCTGTATAGATGGCCCGATATTCGTTATCTTAATTCCTTTTATTTAATTCTTTAATTTATTGTTTAGAAAATTAGGGGACTCTGATTCAAACTGTCAAGCTTGTTGTCTAGGACTAACTAGTCCAACACTTTCCTGGTTTAATTAGCTTTATTCCATTGAAGATTTGTAGGTCTCACCGCCTTAAGGTAGCTTATATATGAAGCTTCCACATGCCAAGATCTAAATCTAAATTTCAATTTTTTTCTATGCTGTCTCTGACACCTTTTGTATTTTCCATCTTTGTCTGTGACTCTGAGTGAGAAAAAGAATAAAAAAAAAATCCCCTGAATTATAAAAGACGGTGATTCTGTTTGTTAGGTTATCCATCAGCAAACATCTAAAATCCAAAAGCGTCGCAAATAAAAAGGCTTGGAATTTTTTGTTAATATAAACTATAACATAATGCAGCATCAGTTAATTAAAACAAAAAAAAATTTATATGAAAAACTAAGGATCCACCAAAAGATATACACCCAACACACATGCATGATTTCGAGTTAAAAGAGCAGTGCCAAAGATTCAATTGAGAAGCATATGATGCATCTGCAGATCCCAGAACATGGATGTGGTCACGATCCTAAGAAAAACAAGAAAATAATTCAAGTTGATAGCAGGATATATTGAATTTAATGCCAATCATGAAGTTGAACAAGTCCCATCTGTTTCATTTTCCATTGCGGAATGATATAGATTGGAAGAACGCAACTCTTAGGGCAGCCAGCTTGTCCTTGATCTGGGGTCCCCTGATGATGAAACACCCGAGGCCCATTTAAATTTTGTCTACACTTATCTCAGAAATAAATGTTATTTCCCACTCTATGATTTTCTTTCCTCTCGTTTCTGCTGTGGATGCCGGTCAGGAAAGAAGTATACAAGATAAGCAATAATAGTGTAAATGAGGACAAATATAATATTTGTCCCAACATGCATATATATCATGAAAATAAATCACAATAATTTGGAGGGTGTATTATGTGTGTGTGGACGATGATGACCACACTGGGGTCTCATCGTCACCAGAATTATATTATATCGGGTTCTATCATTTCATTTATCATAGAAAGCTTACTAGGCTCTGCTATAGATAGGGTAATAATAGAGCTCCAGGTTCACTATTTATGTGAGCGTGACAAGAGGGAGAAAAACTTAGTATCTTACATTAATGTGAATAAAAATAAAAGAACTAATGAACACGAAGCGAGGACGTATCGGGATTACTTGTGAGGTTGGTCACTCGGCCCATTCGGATGACGTGTCTCTTTCACCACTGTAAAGAAAGGGTCCCATTATAGTGAGTTATGTGGCACCAGGGACGACGGAAACGGTTACTGAAAACTACGTATGGTGTGTCGGAGAGAATCGGGGAGATTAATTAACGTAACCTGGGATTAACCCGGGACCATTAATTATTAATCATATTATAAAACAGACGCGAAATAAACGAAAATTAAGGCACATTGAGTGTTGATTAATTTTAAACCATGGTCAAGATTTGGCCCTGAATTGATCATGCAGGACTGAAAATGACAGAGAGCCATAGAGTGGGGCTAGCCCTGAATCAACGGGGACCTGGGCATGCGCTGCTGGAAGACGGACACATGTGATTACAAGATATTGAAGGAACACGTCAAGGACAGGGCTTGACGTTTAAGATTATTCTAAAATAAAATTATTATCATTAATTACTATCCCTGCCAAAGCAAAAGAAAATACAAATATATATATATATATATATGATTGTAAGGGTTAGGGTTTAAATTCGTCTAAAAGGATGGAACTTTTGTTAGGTGAGGAGGATGGATGGATGATGTTGGAGAATGAGTGACGGCTTCATATTCCTTCTCTCTGTGGTCAATAACTTGTTCCATCTCTCCCTCTTTTTCAAGCTTTAATTTCTTTCTAGTCGTTATGGTTTTTATTTAGCCCTAATTTTACTTGCATAAGTTATGGGCTAATAACAATAATTAATGCATATTTTACTTCGATTACGATCTGACGTAGCCTGAACTCTCTCACTGATACAGCTCCTTTCTTTTTCCAATTTGCTTGATTTGTTAGTAATTATTTGCTGGGTTTTGATGGGCTGGTGGGGCCCTTGATTAAGGAGTTCATGAAGCTGTACGTGGAACCACGTGGCGTTCTCCCAATTCTAATGGCCTCATAACTTCTTTTTTTCAATTCTTTCATGTGGGGTACGATCATTATCGATATCACTTTTCGGGTCCACAATGTTGTTTGAGTGTTGTTTCAGACTTTTTTAAACTTCACAAGAACAAATTTCAATAATTATCCTGATCGATCAGATTTTTCATGACAAAGCAAGTTCCTCAAACTGTTTAACTAGCTATGCTTGTTGGTTTATTAATCTACTACAGTTTCTCACTTGACTAATCGTGTCACTTCTTCACTTTCTTTCATTTCATCTTTCTTTTATATATATCTATATCCTTTTGATCTCCTTCAATAAATCTCCTCCATCCATGCATCCATTATACGGCCTCTCTGCTAAAAATGGCAATAAATAATGTTCTTGCTGTCACAGAACATATTAGCAGACACATATGAAGAAATAAGATTAATAATGTTAACTAGATGGTGGTGGAAATCACACTGTACACACACAGACACATGCATATATATACATACATAAATTGATACATATATATAGAGAGAGGGAGGGAGGGAGGAGACAGACTGCACAGAGAGAGAGAGAGAGAGAGAGAGACGAGGGGTTATTAAGCCTTGTTTATGTGGCAACTGCTTCCGGAATAGAAGCATAAAATTAGTTGTTTGCTTTATGGATTGATACAGAGACAACGGATTCCAAAATTGTGATGAACCATAATGTATTAAAGAGATAACGTTTCGAATCCAACTTTAACCATAAATATGGCCATCTTTTCCACTTTGATTCCACAAACAACTTTTAGAAAGACAGGTATCTTATTCACTTTATGCACTTTTTTGAAAAATAAAAATCCAATTCTCTGATTAGATCGTTAATCAATGAGTAGTAGCCATTACTTTTACCCAACTTTATCCTCCTGAATTAAAGTAACTTGCTTTTAGAAGATATCGGCAAACCGAAACAGTTTTGGTTCTTGGAGCTCAAGAAAGAAACTTTAATTTTCCCTCCTTTACACTTGCGTGCTTGATTTAGGTGATTATTCTATAGAAGGCAAAAGGCCATATCTTATAACGGTGTTGTAATTCCGCAAGCAAAATATATTCATCCAAAGTTAAAATGGTTGGAACGCGGGAGAGGCAAATGTTTATTTGCCAAAAGTAGAAAATGACCTTGTTTCGTGGATGTTCACGATCCTTTGTTGATTTTCTTACGTTAATTGCTCTCTCAGAGGTTTTCGTGGATTAAGAATGAAATGTTCCGTGCATTTACTTAATACCCAGCATCATTTTTATTTATTTATTCATTGGTCAGCAATATCCGACATCTAATTCTTTGCTATATATCATGACATTATTTATGAAGAGCTACCAGGCTCTAGAATCCCTATCGGTCTCTATGTCAACAACGGTAACAAGTCATTTAATTTGTGGCGCTTCTTAGTCTTACTGCACCTATTGTCATTATATCAAATGTTAAATGATAAATTTTTATACGAAAGATGAAGCCTAAAGTCTAATTTTAATGAAATGTAAATGCAAAATTTACTATATAATTAATAACGGATGACTTTGCCTTTTTATTCAGGTCCAAAAGAAAAAAAGAAAAAAACTTTGCCTTTGCCGTAGTATCTTCCCATTTCTCGTCGATATCACACTTTATGCAGAATTTGATATTTTAAATTAATTTTAATTTACATTGGTTTGACTCTAAACAGGGCGTAGCACTCCTGGCATAATTTTATGGCCAAACTATGAAACTCTTATGAATTTTTAGGTAGTTATGCAAGACCTTTATCTTTAAAAATTTAAAATTAAACTCACTAATTTAGTGCAGAAATAAATATATCACTAATTCAGTGACAATTGGTTTAATTCTACATGTGCGAATTCAATACTTATATCTTTTCATTTATACATTTTATCAATAGAACTATAATGACTATTTAATTTTAATATACAAAAATTAATATATATTATTTAATTGAACACACATATTTAATTTAATATATTTTTTATCTATTTAATGGAGTATATTATTATTTCATATACATATATCAACATGCATAAATATATAAATTAATATATATTATTATTCAATAAACATATTATTTAATATTGATTAATATATTTTATGAAAATAAATATTTGTTTATATTAATTAACATATCAAGGTTATAATTAAAATATTTTCATATGAAAAAATTATTTTTATATTTAAGTTTACATAATAATATAAAAATTATTTGTTATTTTTTATGTATAATTCTATATTATATTTTTACTTATATTAAGAGAGAAAAATATTTTTGTAATTATTTACTTTGATAATCTCAAGATTTGTTTTCATGGGAATTTCTCTATATATTATAAT